TGTCTTGAAGTTTAAAGACGGTGGAATAATCCAATAGTACTAGACACACTTATTTTCTCCATCTGGGGTGCGTGATAGACTTACCTCCACGTGGTGCACCCTGGGCAACGTATACTCAAACGGCAAAAAAGTCTATTAACTGGCGATTGACTTCTGGCGCAGTCCTCATCCTACCTTTTCTCTGCCTTCATGTCTGTCTTTTTACATCTGTAAATCACTCTTCTGTTCACCACCCCTCGACTTTCTGTCACATTGTTGTTCCTTCCCTCTGTGAAGCCCGAAGTCAACTAAAGGGCTAATGATAACTATCAAAACGCCTGCCATTTGAAATAAATAAATAAATATTTTTCTCCATCTTGAAGGTTTACAGGATGGAGAAATGGCAATTTCATAGCAATATTTATAACTAAGGAACGAAAGTTATTTAACTGATGTTGACCAAAAATAGCAATGTCAGGACAACTATTTGGGTGCTGATTTCAAAGAACGCGGAATATTTGAAATATCGCTCCTTCTGCCTTATAATCATTAAGTTCTACCAATTAACAGTTCATAAAAATGAGGAACAGCAGTTATTACATAGATGCAAATAAAGAATGCGACTCAAGTTAGAACCAACTTGATATGGTTAGTGAAAAAATGTCATTCCTCTGTTTGGCGTTATTTTGGAAGAACAAAAATGTATTATACATGATGGTATGTACAAAGGTCTAAAATAAGTTGTTCAGAATGGAGAGGGCAGAATTTTAATTACTAACCTGGAGAGGCTTTTCCGGTTTCGCTTCGCTAAATCGATCAATAAATAAGGCATGAAGAGAGGCATCACAAGCAGGAATAACTTCTTTAGGGAAAGTGATCAGTTGCTCATAGAGTTCAGGTTGCTCTTCGCGTAAATGTTGACAGTCAATATCAAGCGTCAGTCCTCCACTAGCGGCCATATCCTCCAATCTTTGAATATAAATTGGTCGATTCAGATCCAGAGGAACACCAGTCGTCAAACCTGGTTGGCCCTCAAGATCTCTCAATTTGAAAGACATAATGAAACGCTTGAAACGTTCCATTACTCTAGCGATATTGACATTGGTGCCCCATATAACAGTCTAAAGTGGAGGAAAAAGAATAAGAGCGTCTCAATAAAATAACGTGCAAAAGAAAAGAAACTAACAAACCTGAGCCCCAGGATCAGCAGAAGAACCGGTTTCAGTAAGATTTCGCATGGTAGACGCTTCATTAACACCGGGACGAATAGAACTTTGTTGCTCACCAATATTGCTACCAGCAGTACTAGACATGTCGGTATATGAAAGCGGAGTTTCTGGGCCAAGTTCAGATGTCCTCAAACCAGAAGGAATATCCTAAAAATAGAAAATGAGTGCAAAAAGTCTATGAATAGCAGCAAAAAATAAACGATTAACGTACAGACTCCATCGGTTCATCAGATTGTTGGGTTCTCTGTGTTCGTGGAGAACGAGTAGGCGCTTCAACCTGTCGCGTTCCAGATTGGAAGAGATCTGATGACGTGGGTGGAATAGGTGATTGAGGTTGTTGGGGCTGTTGGGAATCTCCTCGACCGCCTCTTCGACTCTGAGTCGAACGCTGACTTGAGCCTGACATATTTTGTAAATTCCTGACAAAATATTAAGTCAAAATTAGTGATACGCAACATTAATGGGGAGCACAAGTTGGTTATAAATAAGTGGGCTTAAAATAAGCAAGAAAATTATATACCAAAGAAATTAATTAAGTGATTAACTTGTTACATAAACATATCATTAAGTACTAATAATTAGGAATTTAAAACGATGCCTTAAAAATTACAATGGTGAAAAGGCCCTACGTACAAAGCGCCTCAATCGAAATACTGTACTCATTCTTCAGATAAACGAATCGATATAATACATCGACTTGCTTATATCAGTATAAACTAATGCACTTTAGGCATTACAAAAAATTAATTTCTTTCTTAGAATATTTTATGACAAACTTTTAGTTATAATCGTTTTTATTCAATAATTTATAATTATTCACTTTATTCATGACAATATTTTATACGCTTCGTTATCTAACAGTAATCATAAAAGAACTCTTTTTATCTGAATGATTTGCTACATAGCGCATATATTAGTAAAAATTTTCACGATTCTTTTCATCATTTCCTCTAATCAAATTTATATCTGTTTCAATTATAGTCTTTCAGATCAAATGGAAGCTTTTTTACAACTACAATTTGAAGCCAAGCTACTTTTGAATGTTTCTTAATTGAACAATACTCTGTGTAGTTGCTTATTAACCTTCTCCCTTACAGTATTATTTGACACATTGACATACTAATGTAATTGGCTTGCTTGATTCTGTAAATTATATTACCATGCCATCGAGCATGCCTTTATCATTTAAGTGGTTCAGCTTCGTTTAAAGATTGCTTTAACAATATCCTTGCAATTGACCTTAATCGCCACCTCTGACTATTATGTTATGCCAATACGCGCTATAATGTGATTTTATCTCATAGAGTGTATCTAATGAAATTCACTTATCTAAAGACTATTAATGAGTAACTTTCATCTATGACTTATTAGTCAAATGCAGAGAAGTAGGTAGACATTATTGATGGACGTATCTCATGTATCTGATCTCAGATCGGAAATACTGTGACTTTACAAAGCCTTTTCGAGAATTACTCACCGAACCAGTACCCGACTTTTCTTTCGCCTATGATAAATTCTCCCATCGTCTACCCCCACTTTGCCTATTTCTTTACTAAACCGAATTGATTTTTTTATGACTTCATATAGTACTACTCACTAAATTAATCTTCACATGTCTGGGGTACGCAATAGACTTACTTCCACGTGGTGCATCCTGTGCAACGTATACTCATACGGCAACAGGTTTATTAATCGGCAATTGACTTCTGACTTCAAACAATCATGACCCGACTTGGTTATATTCTTCACTAGTCCACCTATCGAACTGAGATGTGCTTAATAGGAATTTCTAAAAAACTTGAATCAAGTAAGTTATATGAAGTGATGGTACTACTGGTTTTATGCCTGCGATGCACTGAAAGAAAAGGCCCGATCCGTCATCAAAAGTGGTATTTAATAGTCGGTCTTCATATTCACAATCAGCGGTTTAATTTATAAGTCATAGCATTTATTGAAAGTATACTTTGACTCGT